CACGTAAAAGTTTGACGAGTTCGTAACTTTTCAGAACACTCTGTTTCGTTGAAATTATTTCGTTTAAAACAGCTATTAAATCTATCACACCAGAAAGAGCAGTTAGTACCACCATTAAAGGGGCTACAACATATCATGGTGGACCGACTAAGCAGGCTATTCTTTTTAAGTTTCTTGCACGTTCTCTTTCTCCGTGCCTGGAGTATTTTCGGGTTGGTTTGTTTGCAATCGACGTCTGCAAAATAAGCATATTAAAGAAGTATGTCTCAGAGCAGAGAGAAAAGCAGAGCTCTTTTAGGACAACCAAAATATAAACACCACAGATTTGTTTGTATTGCTTTCAATCAGATAGAAACAAACTCACCTTCAGCTTGTCCACTCTGAATAGCTATAAAAAAAATGCAAGAAAAAAAAAGAAAAAATGAAAAGAGAAAAAAAAAGATTTGTGTCGAAAAAATCTTCCTGATATACCTCTTTTTTTTATCTAAACCAGATGGCGTGGACGGATGAAGCATGGTTGTCTGCTGATGCCTTTTGTGACAGAATGTGCTTCTACTTGGTAACCTCCTTTTTTACTTTGTAAGATGTATTCATGCCCTGAAAACGAAGCTATTAAAAAGAACTGATACCCATAAGGTGCTCCAGCTAGATTCTGTTCGCAAGCATGTTCAGGCTGCATGACTGCTTCTGAAGCGCGCTGGGAAACATTAAAATATTTCGAGACCATTGCTACATGACAATTTTACAATAGAGTTACCGCCAGGAGATAAGATTATCAGTATATTTTATAAAATATTTCATGGTAAATCAAACAAAAAGTTACGAGTTCCTCATATCAATGTTGGCTTAAATCATTTCTGATAAGACAGCGGCGAGAGAGTGATAATCTCCCTCCAAAGTTGTCTTTTTCGACGTCGAAACAATCTTTCGCCACATATTTCATTCTAGCGACTAGAAAATTTTTCCCTCTGGCGATATCCAAAATCTTTGAGCAAACAGATGAATCCTATTACTAGCCACTCATTCATCTGCATATCAATTTTATCTGGATTTACGGCGGAAATAAAAAGTGAATGGCTTCATAGGGATACATCTCCCACTCAGGTTAAATGATATTTAGAAAATTTCTAAAGGTTTGTCTTTCCCATGTTATACACCAAACGCCGTAAAAGCTGAAAGAACTTTTACCGAGACCTACCACGGACATTTGGTCGTGATGTTGATATCTTTTGAAAAATTATCATAGTGCTAGCCTAAAGCGCATTTTCTTTATTTGTGATTTGATGAAAATTAGCCAACACGAAGTCGAAAAATTTAGGAAGGTTTCTCTGCTTATTGATGATTAATCGACAGCAAGAACTGTATATCTCCCAAACCAAGAACGCATCTGATGATTTAAACAGTTGTGAAACAAAGCCAATTTGAATTCAATAATATACCTAACGTAACGAATGAGACGGGAAATCTAAAAGTCAAAAAAATTGGGCATGAGGTTTCTGAAATATTTGCCATGTTGTTTATATTTACTCCCAAGTATCCACAGCATTACAGAGATCGGTCTGTTTATTGATGATTGATTGACAAAAATAACTGTTTATGTCCCAAACCAGGCCGAAGGAACGCATGTGATATTTTAAACAGTTGTGAAACAAAGCCAATTTGAATTCAATAATATACATGACGTAACCAATGAGATGGGAAGACTAATATGCAAAATAATTTGACATGAGTTTTATGAAATATTTACCATGTCATATATCGTCACTTTCAAGTCTCTACAGTATCACAGAGATCGGTCTTAGACAATGTAGCAATAATCCACCATAATCTGCTGTTTTCTCCAAATAATATTTAACCACTTTCGTTATGCTTTGTCCGTGTGTGTGTGTGTGTGTTTGCGTGTGTGTGTTTTATTTTTCAAAGTTGTCCACATTGGTAATATAGCGTTTTACACCCAAGGAATATGGAGGAAAAAATTAACTCGTACACGAAAATTCTGCATGGAATACGCATATCTACTTAAACATGTCACCATATTAAGTTTAGGAGCAACTTTTTGTCGATGAGCTAGCTATTAGCTATGTATTTAGAGATGTCAAATTAAAGATGATATCCAACTCACCTAGAATGACTGTCATCAAATAAACTGCGCCAAATGCTGACGCATAAGAAAACACTTTCATCTTTCCAAGCTTGAGATGCACTGCGGAGACCGAGACGTGAGATAGGAGTTTTACTTTCCTCAATCCACTTTCAACGATGGACGAAGTAGATCCTTTTTTAATGAACGCCAGATATTGCCAGCTGTTTATTTTATTTTGCAGTACAAACCTTATGTCTCAGCTAACAGACAATTGGCTAATCAATTTTCCATCTTGAACAAAGAATGGTTCCTGAAATAATACAT